GTGGATTAGGGCTATCAACACCTAAAAATTCACACAAGGATCGTCTATCCAGTGGTATATCCTTTCCTGGAACCCATGACTGGAACGGGTCCGCGTTCCAGTTGGCATACAACTCCCGTACATTCTCATATTTGCACAGCCTGGACATTCTATGAGCTTATCTATCTTCATCTCTACCAACGGGGCAAGCACATCCGGAAAGTTCTTTTTAGGTCCTTCACATTAATCCCCATTTCGAAGACATATCTCCCATATGGCACAAAGTTATCATGACATTTGACGGCGTATTCTCGAACTAGATCCACCGAGGCTGTGGGACCGATGGTGGACTCGTCAACCCGCTAGTAACCTGCTTTACCTTAGCTTGCATGGAAGAACCTTCACCTTGGTTGCAATTTTTGGGAGGGAGGGCAATAGCGGAGGACTTTCCTACCGCTTTTCCTTTGGAGGCACTATCATGAGCTATAGCAACCTAAACAACAAACACAAAGGTGAGAAAGAATCAAGAAATTCACCCAAGGTCATCGTGAGAGGCAAAGAAGACCCCCACACTTCAAACCGAAGGCTATGTATAATCTACTCGCAGTAGTGGTTCAACGTGTACCAATGTGTCATCACAAGGCGATAGGTACTCAAGACTTCCCCATGTCGTACAATTCAAGTAGTCGAACAGGGCCATAACTTAATCGTAGAGCAAGCAAGCAATGTTAACGTCCGCATTACTACTATAATAAAGTACACTAAATACTACTTACAATAGTTTACAACAAGATACAATACCCCCAAACACCCAACACTTTACCCAACATCATATACAACTACACGTGGCTACTCAGAATTCACTGGTGTTCAATTCACTCTTTTAGGCATTTTAGCAAACACCTTGCGGGGATCAATTTTGCTTTCTCTTATTTCAACAATGGCGGAGCAAGGTGGCCCTCCCAAATTTAAATGAAGTACAGGGAATTGTAGTTTACTACTTCAAATACAACTTAAAAACCAAAATTTGCACCCAATTTTGTGCACACTAAAAACACACAAAAACAATTCACAATACACAAGAGAAGAAGGAGATGAGGAACATACCTTTGAGTCTTAAGAATACAACACACAAGCAAGAGTGGAGAATTCGAGAGAGAGAGAGAGAGAGAGGAAGGAGCGGGCAGAGGGGTTTAGAGAGTAACGGGGAGAGAGAGTGGGAGTTTGGGTTTAGAGTTATGTTAGTTAAATGGGAGAATGGGTTGGGTAATTATGTTAGTGTATATGGGTAATCGGGTCGGGTAATGGGTTAGGTCCTAAAGAAATTAAAAAAGTAAAAAAACAAAAATTAAAAAAAATTAACTTAGTTGACCCCCCCCCCAGCCCAGCGCCCCACGATGGGCTTGGCACTGGGGTTATGCCTATACTGGAATTTGCGCCCTAGATATCGTGGGGCGCTATCCTGGGCGTTGGGCGTTGGTTCGCCGAAATTTTCCATTTTTTTGGATACAATTCCCTCCTACCCGAGCACTAAATACATACATTATACACCTCACACCGTTTCCAACTATGATTTTTATAACTACAAAGAAAATAAAAAACTAGTCTACTCTGACTAAAAGAAAACAAAAAACTAAGCTACGAAAGTATTAAAAATTGAGTTCTCCCAACAAGCGCCTGATTTAACAATGCGGCACGACTCAACACGCTTTTCAAGCATCGGCCAAGTCCACCGAGGTCTTCTGACGTGCAATGTCGCTACTCCAATAATATTTCACTCGCTTCCCATTTACCAAGAAGGTACAACTTGAGCTCATATGACACAATTCTAGCGCTCCATGAGGACTTACACTTACCATCACGAAAGGACCTACTTATTGAGACTTAAGCTTTCCAGGGAAAAGCTTCAACCTCGAATTAAACAAGAGAACTTCTTGACTTGGCTCAAACTTGCGATGGTGGATGTGGTTATCATGCCACCTCTTAGTTTTTTCTTTATACAATTTAGTATTTTTGTATGCATACAATCGAAACTCATCAAGCTCACTGAGTTGTAACAACCACTTCTCGCCGACTAAGTCCAAATCAATATTTAGCTTTTTAATTGCCCAATAGGCTTTGTTTTTATGCTCGACGGGCAAGTGGCATGCCTTCTCATAAACAAACTTATACAGATATGTACCTATGGGGGTCTTGTATGCAGTTCTATACGCCCATAATCCGTCGTCAAGCTTTCTGGTCCAGTCCCACTCCAAAATATGCTTCACCTCTTCGTTTGACATTTCGACTTGACCATTCGTTTGGGGTTGATAGCTGGTGGCAACCTTGTGCTTAATTCCATACTTTGCTAGAACATTTTTCAATAATTTGCTACAAAAGTGAGTTCCTCCATCACTTATCAGCACCCTTGGAATCCCATAGCGTCTCAAGATGTGCTTCTTTACAATGTTTACCACTACCTTTGCGTCATTAGTAGGAAGAGCAATGGCCTCAACCTACTTAGACACATAGTCGAGTGCCAACAAGATGTACCTGCGACCATTAGAGTATGGGAATGGTCCCATGAATTCAATACCCCAAACATCAAAGAGCTCTACTGCCAGAATATTTTGCAAAGGCATCTCGTGCTTCTTCGTGATTATTCCGGTCCTTTGGCACCTATTTCACTTTTTAACAAAGGCGTGTGCATCCTTAAAAAGTTTTGGCCAATATAAACCCGATAGAAGCACTTTTTGGGTAGTTCTATCCCAGCCATGATGACCTCCATATGGAGAAGCATGATAGTCATGCAATATTATATTCATATCCTCCTCAGGAACACACCTTCGTACCAATTGATCTGCGCACTGCTTATATAGGAATGGATCTTTCCACATGCAGAGCATCACATCATGTAGAAACCTTCTTCTATTATCGGGTGTCAATTCTGGTGGCAGCAATCCACTTGCAATAAAATTCACGTAATCTGCATACCACAGGGCTTCACTCGAAGTGATTGCCAATAACTGCTCATCCGGAAATGTGTCCTTAATCGAACATCCCACAGCCACATGGATCCGATTTTCTAATCTAGACAAGTGATCAGCCACATGATTCTCTATTCCTTTTTGATATCGGATATTGAAGACAAATTCTTACAAGAGGAGGACCCATCGAACTAGCCTCAGATTGGCATCTCTCTTATAAAACAAATACCTTATAGCTGTGTGATCTGTATAGACGATGACTTTGGTTCCTACTAAATAGGATCTAAATTTTTCAAATGCCCACACCACCGTAAGAAACTATTTTTAGTGTAGTTCATTTGAACTGGATTTAGAGTTTTGCTCGCTTAATAAATGGAGTGAAAAATTTTATCCCTCATTTTCCCCAAAAGGGATTCGATTTCTATGTCACTCGCATCGCATATCAACTCAAATGGTTGCGCCCAATCCGGGGCAATGATAATTGGCGCAGTCACTAATCTTCCCTTTAGATCCTCAAATGCTTTTAGAGAGGCATCATCAAACCTGAAGGGGATATCTTTCTCAAGAAACCTGCATAGATGAAAAGAATTTTTTGAATAATCTTCAATGAAACGATAATAAAAACTTGCATGGCCCAAAAAATTCCGAATGCTCTTGAAGGATGTCGGTGGGGGAAATTTTTCAATTGCCTCCACCTTTGCTTTGTCCACTTGCAAACCATTTTTGGACACCTTGTGTCCTAAGACTATACCTTCACATACCATAAAATGGCATTTTCCCAGTTTAAAACAAAGTTTGTCTCTTCACACCTAGCAAGCACTTTGTAAAGGTTCATTAAACAATTATCAAATGAACACCCAAACACAGTAAAATCATCCATGAACACTTCTACAAATCTCTCAACATATGAGTAAAATAGTCATTATACACCTTTGAAAAGTCGCAGGTGCATTATAAAGACCAGGCATTCTCTTAAAATCATATGTGCCATAGGGACACATCAATGTAGTCTTCCCTTGGTCCTTTGGGGCTATAGCAATCTGATTATATCCCGAATAGCCATTTAGGAAACAGTAGTATTCATGTCCAACTAATCTATCAAGCATTTTATCAATAAAGGGGAGGGGAAAGTGGTCCTTTTGGGTGGCATTGTTTAATTTTCTATAATCTATGCAAATTCTACACCCAGTCATAGTTCTTAAGGGAATCAAGTCATTATTTTCATTAACCTCTACAATCATCCTCCCCCCATTCTTAGGTATACATTTGACGGGGCTTACCCATTTGCTATCAGAGATTTGAAATACAATACCTGCATCAAGCCACTTAATCACTTTTTTTCTTACCACCTCTTTCATGATTGGATTTAAGTAGTGTTGTTGCTCTACACTTGGCTTATACCCTTCCTCCATGAGGATTTTTTGCATGTATAAGGTTGGACTGAGGTTTCTAATGTCAGACATCATCCACCTAATTGCTTGCTTGTGCTCACGCAGTACTCTTAACATCTTTTCTTCCTGCTATTTAGACAAGTCAGAAGAAATAATAACAGATAGAGTGTCAGAACCACCCAAAATAAGCATATTGAAGGTGAGGGGGCAAGGGTTTATGTTCCAATTTTGGAGCTTCTTTAATCGACGGCTTTGGAGCTAGCCCACTTGGCCTATTTAGGGTCTCAAATGGTTTAATCCCTGCATATAAGCATAGGATGCATCTAGTATATGCATTATCTCCTCAACCTCATCATCAATCTCCAGGTATCGAACAACATGAGTGCTTTTTCTAGAGAATTTTCTAGACATACACTCGTGTCAATAAGTTACTCATCCACCTACACAACAAATATCATAGAGAACTCCTTATAATAGCAGGGAAGTTGGATCGCCTTGTAGACATTAAAAACTGCTTCCTCATTGTCCACCCTCAAAATCATTTTTCCCTCTCTCGCTTTAATAATTGCATTGCCTTTAGCCAAGAGAGGTTGTCTCAATATGATTGGAACTTGTTCATTAGCCTTATAATCTAGGATAATGAAGTCCACTGGGAAGATAAATTTCAAATTTGGAGCAACACATCTTCAATCAGTCCTTCAGGGTAGGCTATGGATCTATCAGCTAGTTTCACACTCACAGTGGTTGGCCTTGGAGCTCCCAGATCCAATTGCTTGAACAAGGACAAGGGCATCAGATTTATGCTCTCCCCCAAATCACAAAGAGTATGACTCACATCGATATTACCAATCCGTACAGGGATGGTGAAGTTGTCAGGATCCTTAAGCTTTTGAGGGAGCTTGTTTTTGACCTTTGAAGTGCACTCCTCAGTACGTGTGACTGTCTCAAATTTAGTCAATCTCCTCTTGTGAGCCACTATATCTATGATGTACTTAGCATACTTTGGAACTTCGTGAAGTACATGTACCAATGGAATATTCAATTGAGCATGGCTCAACATAGAGAGAAATTTATTGAACATGCGATCATCATTCTTCTTCTGCAATCTTTGGGGGAAAGGTGGTGGTGGCCTTGCAGCATTCACTAGCTCTGAACTTGCATCATATTTCTTTGACTCATGTGTTGCCATAGGAATCAACTCTCCCTCAGGTATAGGCTTATCGTTTCTCTTCTTTAGCACTTCTTCTAATTCCCTCCCATTTCTAAGTGTAACTGCATTAACTTGAGGGTTTTTATCTGTATCATTGGGAAGAGCGCCTGCAGGACTAGTATTTTGATTTGATGCTAACTACCCCATTTGTCTCTCAAGATTTTTGAAATCGGTCCTGAGTTGTTAATTATCAAGTGACAGCTTCTTCAACAAGTCATTCGTGCTCTCTTCTATTTGCTCGGGTGGCTTCTAAGGTTGATTAAAATTTCCTTGGGGCCTATAATGATTCTGAGTCATTAATTTCCACCCTAGGAGAAGTTAGGATGATTCTTCCAATTTAGATTGTAAGTATTCCCATATTATGCATGTTGATTTATCGGACCTCTGCTCTATTTTCCCACGTAGTAGATAGATTCAGGATTCGTGGGGCACATGTCACTCGTGTGACTGTCACCACATAATTCGTAGCAAGTATACATCTTTTGTACATATTTCATCTGTTGTGTTTGGTGCATTGTCATTCTATTCATCCGATTTGCCAATTTTGCTATATCTGCTCTCAAGGTTGAGAAGTCATCAAGCTCAATTATACCTACTACTTTCTGTTTAAGTGCTCTTCGTGATTCTGCATCTCCTTTCCAATTATGATCATTAGCAGTGAAGTTGTTTAGCAAGAGCTGCATTTCACCATACGGCCTCACCATGCAAATACCCCCACAAGCTGAGTCAAGATTCATCTTTAATGTCTCATCTAACCCATCAACAAAAGTATGACTGATGTGCCGGAGAATTTCGGCACATTTCAATACTAATTGCTTAGATTTTAGCTTGTTTTGAATGCAATTACCTCCCTTACTTATGTAATTTTAATGTTTTTGCAGTACATGAGGTTTAAGGACCCAAGAGCATGGAAAAGAAAGTAAAAAGCCACAAAAAGACAAGAAAAAAGCAAAATGTAGCAAAAATGTGGATATGCGATGCATTATGCGATCGCAAACCCTACATGCGAGCCGCATAAGGTGCAAAGGATCTCAAATCAAAACATAAAGTTAGCCAAAATCTGGTGCAAGAAATGCGGTCCAAAATGCGATCGCATAACAGGTTTGCGTATCACATAATGGTCCGCAAACTCATGAAGAGAAGTGCTGATGGTGGAAAATGCGACGCAGAATGCGATCGCATAGATGGAATACGGTCCGCAAAACCACAATGCGATGACGGCCTGGAAACTAGGGTTTTGAAGTTCAATGGACATGAAGAGAATGCGGACCTCATGTCTGATTTGTGACAGAAATGCGGTCACATACTTGACCTGAAAAGGCATTTTTGTCCGTTTTTTGTGTCGATTTTTGGCACTCTATAAATAGATTTATTGTGATTTTGTGGGCTCATCTGGTCTGACTTTGAAGCTACAATACAAGGCATTAATATTCCTCTCTTTTGGAAGGTTTTAGGTCAAGAATCTTTCAATTTGTAAGCTTTATGGCATTAAATAGTGTCTTCTTTTTGTATTTTAGCTTGTGTAGCTAACTTTAAATACTAAGGTTGTGGACCCTAAATGGGTGTTATGTTAATGAATGTTTAACATTGAATATATATATATAATGGTTGGTTGATATTTATTTACTTCTCATTCTTCATTTATTGTTGGTGGTTGCAAACATTAACAAGTGTCATTAAATTCTTGCTTTGCTTGGGAAAGTGAGTTGGAATTTGGAAGAAGTAAATATCAAAGACTCAAGGATTTAAACCTTGTTTAATAGAATCGCTTAGGAATAAGTGAGTTTTATTTGGCATATATTGATTGTTCTTAATTACAACTCTTTTATATTTGGAAAAAATCATAAAGAGGAAATACTACCCAACTATTGGAAAATATTGGGTAGACTTTTAGACATCATTTGCATATCAAAAGGACCTTCCTTAGAAATATATCATATTAACACTGATAGCATTACACTTCATTTAAGGGGACACAACCTTGGTTTCTTTAATCAAATTATTTACATTCTCAATATTTCAACTAGTTGTTACTTCAAATCAAACTCAATTCATACTCTTGTTACCGTTAATTGGATAGAACTACGACTTTAGTCAAGCAACACACTAATCGAGTAACCTTTTCACACCTATTCCCTATGTGATTCGACCCCAACCTTGTTGGGTTATTATATTTGACACCGACCGCCTTACACTATTTATTAAAGTGTAATTTGAGCGTATCAATGACCCAACACCTCATCAGTCTGGGAAGTTATGTGGGCAGTCTTTGAGTAGCTTCTCGTATCTTTCCCAAGCTTGATGAAGAGTCTCGCTATCCCGCTGCTGGAACCCAAGAATCTGGCTCATCAGTGACTTTGTCTTTTTAATGGGAAAAAATTTGATTAAGAACTTTCTTGCTTGATCATCCCAAGTGTGGATCGAGTTCATGGGCTCCTTTTGCAACAATTATTTAGCCTCCCCAGCAGTGAAAAGGGGAGAGCTGTCAGCCTGATGTAGTCCTTGGAAACGTTAGGATAATTGTAAGTATCCATAATTTCCGGGAAGTTCTGAATGTGCCGCTGCAGTCTTTATGAGATGTACCCACATATTGCCTTGTGGACTGAATCAGTTGTACAATGTATTGTTTGAGTTCAAAGTGACCTGTGATTTCAGGTTTCACATTAGCATGAGTCATATTAGCAAGATTGGGCCTTACGGCTTCAATCACCGGACGCTCTTCATTACCTGCCATCTCTAGTGGCTGTGGTTGAACTACGATGTCCATCTCTCTTTCTATTCTAGTTCTAGCTTCGACTTCCCTCCTCACCCTGTGAAGTGTTCGTTCAATTTCAGGATCAAGAGGAAAGAGGTTGTTTACGCTTCTACTCCTCCGCATTTAAGAGAAGAGCCAGCGTTAACACAAACAAGGAAAACTAAAAATTAAAAATTGAACAAATAACTAATAAAAGCTTAACTCAGTCAAGTAGCTAATTTCTAAGTCCCCGACAACCGTGCCAAAACTTGTTGCGACCAAGCACACTCACGTAAGTAAACGTGGTCGTCAAGTAATAGAGTAGTGAGGAAAGTATCATTCCCATAAAGACTTATGATTAACTTTTGACTGATTCAAACTCAAAAAACTTATCAATTCAAGAGATTTCTCACAAAATATGTAAGTGACTAATTTACTATGTAAGAAACTATCAAGCAACGAAATAACTAAAAATCAACCACAACACTTAAGCAAATTTGGATAAAAATCAGTAGAAGAGGATATTCCAAGGTCATAGGCTAGCTAACAATCTTGTTGCGTTCTTGGATTAAATGACTAAATGATTTATCCGGATTGTTGATTGACAGGGTTGACATTACTCATAAGAATCTGTCGAGTTCTTACTCGACTATTCAAGCTAATTTAATGTCGATATGTCTGTGGAATTAAGATTAACAAGAATGCATTTACACTTTCTGCATTTCAACCAAGCAGGGCAATTAGGTGTATTTCTATCCTAATTGCGAATTTGTTTGCCGATGCCCGAGTTCGAGAACTTGCTCTATTTAATCCTACATGCAATCTAGAATTCCCACTTTTGAGTTCAAATCTAGATTCGTAGATAGTATTTCAATATTAGATACTCAGAAAAATAATTAAAAACATGTTAAATAAACAACCCAATATGATAAAATCAAACTCGTCAAATAAAACTTCAAACATCAGCATTCATGTATCACCCATGACCCCAGAATAATAGGTTTCTTAGCCACTCAAGTTCATACAATTATGAAAAATAATGTTTTCAAATATAAAATCAATGAACACTAGAAGAAGAATGGAAGAATTCATCAAATTCGTGCTCCCGAGTGTTTCATACTTTTGTTTTTCTCTCAAAGTCACGTCCTCCTCCTCAAAATAACTGAGTCCCGGACGAAATAGGACACTTTCACATCTTGAGCAACTAGGGAAGAGTGGGGCACTGGCCTTGGTGCTCATCTTCTTCAGCATTCTGTTTTGTGCACTACAGGTAGCGCCCCAAGCTGCCTGCGGCGCTAAATTGGGCACTTTTTCCTTTTCTTCCCATTTTCGCTCCAATTCGCGCACTTTCGTCCCAAATCGTATCAGAATAATTCCTACACATACAAATACCATAAATTAACACAAATAATTATATTATACATCCAAAATATACGAGACATGAACATAATGCAAGGCAATATACATCAAAATATGCATACATTAAGCTGAATATCAGTACCCCCGCACAACTTTTTTGCTTATTTAAGGAGCTTCATTATTTCTTCAAAACTTCAGTCTTCTGCATCCTTTTTACTTTCCTTTTCTCATTCCTAAATATTTGTTTACTTAACTTTTTCTGCATTTTGCCATAATGTATGAAGAGCGAAAAATTAGGGTTGCATTATATTGGGGGTGAGGTTACCGTGGAGAATAACTCAGTACACTATTGTTTTTCTCCATAGTGTATTGTTATGTTGCCACTTATATTATAGTATGATAGATTAGTATCGTTGATATGTAAAATAATGAGTGTAAGGAAACGTTCGGTTAATATTAAAGTAACCGAAAAATATCCATATTCTCTAACTCCGCAAGGAGTTGCTTGTTATGCTGAGTTTAACATCGAAGACGGTGAAACTCTAAAAGATTTTTTGAGGACTCTGGATGAATGCCGGGAACTTCTTGTGATAAATATATTGGAAATGTACGTTAAGCCTTAAGACGTTCATAATATTGAGGTTTCACAAAATAGGGATAACCCTCAATTCTCGGGTGATGTTATTGGAGCAGTTTTATCCGAACAAGTTTCGTTTGAAAGAGTTTTGCTAGATCTAAACTTATCTCCACGGGCAACTGAGAAGCGATGACATAATTTCTCCCAAAGTTTACATAATTCACCTGCCGAGTGGTATATTTTAATTTTCCTTTGTCTTAGTATGTTTTTTTATGCATCATGTTTGCACTAACACTCATATAGTCCAAGGGGGGTACCGGTCAAATAAGAATTTTACAAGTTATGAACCAACCAACAGTCGGAATATGCCCAATTTTGGTGTTTTAGATTATGGTAGTCCATCCGGGAGTCATTAGCAACTCCGTAATGTGTATCATAGGATATCAACATATTATGAATTGTAAGTTTAGAGATAAAGTTAATATATAATATTGGGATGAATTTGAGAAATTAATTATTTTATTTGTTGTGTAGTAAAAACGAGCAACTTGAAGATCTTGGCCTTACTCAATTGCCCGAAGACGATATATTTAATCAGGATTTGGTAGATGCACAGAGTCATAAAGATGATAGTGATTATGACAACAATGCCGATGAGTCTAGAGATGATACACCATTCCCTGATGAGGGCGACAATAAAGAGGAAATGCCCTTTGCTTATGAGAATGAGAATGAGCAACCTGATTTGCCAAGGGAGCATGATGCCACATCATGCTCTATATATGTAGACTCCACCTCCCCTTAGACCCAGAGTGTACGAGTCCCATGTGCCCTTTCTTTTAACGATGATTCCCTACTGTGATCTGTTGTCCAGTATGCCGGATATGGATGCCCTCACAAGGGATATTGATGACATTCGGATAGCAATGTGGGATGAATCTAGATCAACGACGATGTCAAAAGAATATGCTTTTTGGTGATAAAGCGTGCCTTAGCAGGGCGGTGCGAATGTACAACATAAAAGAGTGTCGTAAGATCGAGGTTCATGAGTCATCTCCGAAAGTATA